ACGTGGGTGTTGTTCCAGTGGTGGAGTACACGTGGGTGTCTCACCAGTGGTGGAGTACACGTGGGTGTTGTTCCAGTGGTGGAGTACACGTGGGTGTCTCACCAGTGGTGGAGTACACGTGGGTGTTGTTCCAGTGGAGTACACGTGAGTGTTGTTCCAGTGGTGGAGTACACGTGGGTGTCTCACCAGTGGTGGAGTACACGTGGGTGTTGTTCCAGTGGTGGAGTACACGTGGGTGTTGTTCCAGTGGTGGAGTACACGTGGGTGTCTCACCAGTGGTGGAGTACACGTGGGTGTTGTTCCAGTGGTGGAGTACACGTGGGCGTCTCACCAGTGGTGGAGTACACGTGGGTGTTGTTCCAGTGGTGGAGCACACGTGGGTGTTGTTCCAGTGGTGGAGTACACGTGGGTGTTGTTCCAGTGGTGGAGTACACGTGGGTGTTGTTCCAGTGGTGGAGTACACGTGGGTGTTGTTCCAGTGGTGGAGTACACGTGAGTGTTGTTCCAGTGGTGGAGTACACGTGGGTGTTGTTCCAGTGGTGGAGTACACGAGGGTGTTGTTCCAGTGGTGGAGTACACGTGGGTGTCTCACCAGTGGTGGAGTACACGTGGGCGTCTCACCAGTGGTGGAGTACACGTGGGTGTTGTTCCAGTGGTGGAGTACACGTGGGTGTTGTTCCAGTGGTGGAGTACACGTGGGCGTCTCACCAGTGGTGGAGTACACGTGGGTGTTGTTCCAGTGGTGGAGTACACGTGGGTGTTGTTCCAGTGGTGGAGTACACGTGGGGTGTTGTTCCAGTGGTGGAGTACACGTGAGTGTTGTTCCAGTGGTGGAGTACACGTGGGTGTTGTTCCAGTGGTGGAGTACACGTGGGTGTTGTTCCAGTGGTGGAGTACACGTGGGTGTCTCACCAGTGGTGGAGTACACGAGGGTGTTGTTCCAGTGGTGGAGTACACGTGCGTGTCTCACCAGTGGTGGAGTACACGTGGGTGTTGTTCCAGTGGTGGAGTACACGTGGGTGTCTCACCAGTGGTGGAGTACACGTGGGTGTTGTTCCAGTGGTGGAGTACACGTGGGTGTCTCACCAGTGGTGGAGTACACGAGGGTGTTGTTCCAGTGGTGGAGTACACGTGGGTGTCTCACCAGTGGTGGAGTACACGTGGGTGTTGTTCCAGTGGTGGAGTACACGTGAGTGTTGTTCCAGTGGTGGAGTACACGAGGGTGTCTCACCAGTGGTGGAGTACACGAGGGTGTCTCACCAGTGGTGGAGTACACGAGGGTGTCTCACCAGTGGTGGAGTACACGTGGGTGTTGTTCCAGTGGTGGAGTACACGTGGGTGTTGTTCCAGTGGTGGAGTACACGTCGGTGTCTCACCAGTGGTGGAGTACACGTGGGTGTCTCACCAGTGGTGGAGTACACGAGGGTGTCTCACCAGTGGTGGAGTACACGTGAGTGTTGTTCCAGTGGTGGAGTACACGTGAGTGTTGTTCCAGTGGTGGAGTACACGTGGGTGTTGTTCCAGTGGTGGAGTACACGTGGGTGTTGTTCCAGTGGTGGAGTACACGTGGGTGTTGTTCCAGTGGTGGAGTACACGTGAGTGTTGTTGCAGTGGTGTAGTACACGTGGGTGTTGTTCCAGTGGTGGAGTACACGTGGGTGTTGTTCCAGTGGTGGAGTACACGTGAGTGTTGTTCCAGTGGTGGAGTACACGTGGGTGTTGTTCCAGTGGTGGAGTACACGTGGGTGTCTCACCAGTGGTGGAGTACACGTGGATGTTGTTCCAGTGGTGGAGTACACGTGGGTGTTGTTCCAGTGGTGGAGTACACGTGGGTGTCTCACCAGTGGTGGAGTACACGTGGGTGTTGTTCCAGTGGTGGAGTACACGTGGGTGTCTCACCAGTGGTGGAGTACACGTGGGTGTTGTTCCAGTGGTGGAGTACACGTGGGTGTCTCACCAGTGGTGGAGTACACGTGGGTGTCTCACCAGTGGTGGAGTACACGTGGGTGTTCCAGTTCCAGTGGTGGAGTACACGTGGGTGTCTCACCAGTGGTGGAGTACACGTGAGTGTTGTTCCAGTGGTGGAGTACACGTGGGTGTTGTTCCAGTGGTGGAGTACACGTGGGTGTTGTTCCAGTGGTGGAGTACACGTGGGTGTTGTTCCAGTGGTGGAGTACACGTGGGTGTTGTTCCAGTGGTGGAGTACACGTGAGTGTTGTTCCAGTGGTGGAGTACACGTGGGTGTTGTTCCAGTGGTGGAGTACACGAGGGTGTTGTTCCAGTGGTGGAGTACACGTGGGTGTCTCACCAGTGGTGGAGTACACGTGGGCGTCTCACCAGTGGTGGAGTACACGTGGGTGTTGTTCCAGTGGTGGAGTACACGTGGGCGTCTCACCAGTGGTGGAGTACACGTGGGTGTTGTTCCAGTGGTGGAGTACACGTGGGTGTTGTTCCAGTGGTGGAGTACTCGTGGGGTGTTGTTCCAGTGGTGGAGTACACGTGAGTGTTGTTCCAGTGGTGGAGTACACGTGGGTGTTGTTCCAGTGGTGGAGTACACGTGGGTGTTGTTCCAGTGGTGGAGTACACGTGGGTGTCTCACCAGTGGTGGAGTACACGAGGGTGTTGTTCCAGTTGTGGAGTACACGTGCGTGTCTCACCAGTGGTGGAGTACACGTGGGTGTTGTTCCAGTGGTGGAGTACACGTGGGTGTCTCACCAGTGGTGGAGTACACGTGGGTGTTGTTCCAGTGGTGGAGTACACGTGGGTGTCTCACCAGTGGTGGAGTACACGAGGGTGTTGTTCCAGTGGTGGAGTACACGTGGGTGTCTCACCAGTGGTGGAGTACACGTGGGTGTTGTTCCAGTGGTGGAGTACACGTGCGTGTCTCACCAGTGGTGGAGTACACGTGGGTGTTGTTCCAGTGGTGGAGTACACGAGGGTGTCTCACCAGTGGTGGAGTACACGAGGGTGTCTCACCAGTGGTGGAGTACACGAGGGTGTCTCACCAGTGGTGAAGTACACGTGGGCGTTGTTCCAGTGGTGGAGTACACGTGGGCGTTGTTCCAGTGGTGGAGTACACGAGAGTGTTTCAGTACTTCAACTTACCATAACACAAAAGCATTGAAAAAATAGTGTGTGTGTGTATATATATATATATATATATATATATATATATATATATATATATATATATATATATATATATATATATATATTTATTTATTTATTTATTTATTTATTTATGCAAACAAGCTTGAATTGTCCCAAAGTCAATATGTAACTGAAAATTCCACACCCGAGAAGGATTCGAACCCAGACAGGTAGGAGCAGTGTGTACCTTGGTGTACCTGTTTCCTTAACCGCTTGTCCTCACTAATGCCCACACCCCGTTATTCTGGGGGGTGGAGTTCTCAGTTGCATATTGGCTTGGGGACTATTCTAGCTTTTTCACATTTGTGTTGCTCACGTGGCTCCGCCAAGTGAGGTGATTCGATGAAATAACTATGCCCAAGCTTGCCACCGAGAGCTGTCGGGTGTTGGGTACATAAGTTCTCTCGACTTCCAACATTTTTGTACATTCAATGTGGTCAAGTGGTTAAGGTACCAGGTACACCAAGGTACACAGTGCTCCTAGCTGTCTGGGTCCGAATCCCTCTGTGTGGAATTGTGGAATTTTTATGTGTATATATATTATATCATATATAAGGCCCCCCAGTAAGACTGGGGGGGCCTCGGAGTTCGAACAGCAACGCAAATCGCTGTTCCAGCCTTCCTGTCCTCCTTATCAGCATCCGACGACCATGTGAAGGAAATTCTACCTGCCCACTTACATCAGCTGGCAGGTGTACATGATCCCAATTTTACACGCTGTGCCACAGAGTGGGCCTCTCGTGCAGGCCCATCACCTCAACCACCATCCCCAAAAGCCCACAAGCAATCCAGCTGGGATGGCCCCATTGTAGACCAAGTTGCTGCAGAGTGCCTGGGTGCTGCAACAACACAACACGACATTGCTCGCCTCACAGCAGTAGCAGCACCACATGCAGGGGATTTCCTGTTAGCAACCCCAATGTCGGCAACTAGCACGCGTCTCACACCACACGCCCTCCGAATTGCTGTGGCCCTCCGCCTTGCTGCCCCAATCCACACCAGATATAGGTGTATTTGCGGCGAGGTGGTGGCTGACAGGTACGGCCACCATGGCCTACTCTGCCAAAGCACAAGGGGATGGCACTCGAGGCACAATGAAGTTAACGACATCATCAAGAGGAGCCTCACCACAGCTGGATGCCCAGCTGAAAGAGAGCCCCGTTACCTAACGCCCCGTAACTCTGATGCTCTTATTGGTTGCCCGGATGGTATCACAGTGAACCCCTGGAAGAATGACAAGCAGTTGGTATGGGACTACACGTGCGTATCAACCCTGGCTAACACCTACATTAACCTCAGTGTTGCACAACCAGGTGGCGCTGCCACCCACAGGGAAGCAGCCAAATCCCGTAAGTATAGAGAACTGGATCACCACTACAATTTTGTCCCCATTGCTTCTGAGACACTCGGCGCCTGGGGTAAAAGTGCTACCAGTTTTTTGAAGGAACTAGGTTCTAGGCTCATTGAAACAACAAGGGACCCAAGAGCTGCAAGCTTTCTTTTCCAGCGCCTCAGTGTGGAGATACAGAGGGGAAATGCGCACTGCATCCAGGGATCCAGCCCGCCATCTGAGGAGCTGGAGGAACTCGACAACCTATGATAACCATCTTTGTAACCCATATGTAACTACTTTTTTGTAACAAAGGTCAAATAAAGCAAATATATATGTGTACATACAAAAGAATGGGGGTGGTAGGAGAAGATAATATTAGTGTTCAGTGAGAAACCACAAGGTCTCCTCTGAATACTTTTTATTTTCTTCTCCGAGGCTATGGGTCCCCACATTGGCACCAGAGGTGGTACCCTCACAAACTTTTATATCATATTCTGTATTGATTATTTTTTGTTTAGGGCTGAAGAGGCATTTGACAAGTGCCCTCAAAAGTCACACGAGACAAGCCCATGACATCACCCTAACAAGAGAAATGCTGAATAAAAACACTTGTATAATAGACACAACCCAAGATGTAAGAAGATTACAAATTTTTGATCACTCTACATAAAAATAGAACAACCTACCATAATTACCCATATTATAGAACTATTTACTCTACCCACCACGAGAGTAAGAACAAGACCAGAACATGAAGATGCCAACATAGAGGACACTGCCCAACATGCTACGCCCAATACACCTGATTAATCTTTGTATGTGAATCGGACCCCATTTTCGCCTCTTTCTCCAAACTTTATCGCCTTACTTTTCTTCCCTTTACGCCTTATTCTTGACCTTATTCTATTATTTGTATTGATCTACTTGTCTACACCTGACCCCCTAATGGTATAAATCCAATATGCCGTGTACTTTCCTATCACTTGAGAATGAACCATGATGGTTCGAAACGTGTATTTTTATAATAAGTGTAATACATTCTACAGTTATTTATCTCTTTTTTCTTCACCTCGAACGAATATGACTTTTGGAGAACTCCTCTTACAATTACACCAAGATGCAAGAGCACTAGTCATATAAGAAAAATAATTAACACAGAATAAGCTGCCATATTCGATGAAAAATGTATATATATATATATATATATATATATATATATATATATATATATATATATATATATATATATATAGCTATATATATATATATATATGTATATATATATATAGCTGGCAGAGCTCCTCCTTGTCTCATCATCCCTGCGCCAGGTATGGAGAGTGTGACAGCTGGTGTCATCATCCCTGCGCCAGGTATGGAGAGTGTGACAGCTGGTGTCACCATCCCTGCGCCAGGTATGGAGAGTGTGACAGCTGGTGTCACCATCCCTGCGCCAGGTATGGAGTGTGTGACAGCTGGTGTCATCATCCCTGCGCCAGGTATGGAGTGTGTGACAGCTGGTGTCATCATCCCTGCGCCAGGTATGGAGAGTGTGACAGCTGGTGTCACCATCCCTGCGCCAGGTATGGAGTGTGTGACAGCTGGTGTCATCATCCCTGCGCCAGGTATGGGGAGTGTGACATCTGGTGTCATCATCCCTGCGCCAGGTATGGAGTGTGTGACAGCTGGTGTCATCATCCCTGCGCCAGGTATAGAGTGTGTGACAGCTGGTGTCATCATCCCTGCGCCAGGTATGGAGTGTGTGACAGCTGGTGTCATCATCCCTGCGCCAGGTATGGAGTGTGTGAAAGCTGGTGTCATCATCCCTGCGCGAGGTATGGAGAGTGTGACAGCTGGTGTCACCATCCCTGCGCCAGGTATGGAGTGTGTGACAGCTGGTGTCATCATCCCTGCGCCAGGTATGGAGTGTGTGACAGCTGGTGTCATCATCCCTGCGCCAGGTATATAGTGTGTGACAGCTGGTGTCACCATCCCTGCGCCAGGTATGGAGTGTGTGACAGCTGGTGTCATCATCCCTGCGCCAGGTATGGAGTGTGTGACAGCTGGTGTCATCATCCCTGCGCCAGGTATGGAGGTACAGACAGCTGGTGTCATCATCCCTGCGCCAGGTATGGAGGTACAGACAGCTGGTGTCATCATCCCTGCGCCAGGTATGGAGGTACAGACAGCTGGTGTCATCATCCCTGCGCCAGGTATGGAGGTACAGACAGCTGGTGTCATCATCCCTGCGCCAGGTATGGAGGTACAGACAGCTGGTGTCATCATCCCTGCGCCAGGTATGGAGGTACAGACAGCTGGTGTCATCATCCCTGCGCCAGGTATGGAGGTACAGACAGCTGGTGTCATCATCCCTGCGCCAGGTATGGAGGTACACACAGCTGGTGTCATCATCCCTGCGCCAGGTATGGAGGTACACACAGCTGGTGTCATCATCCCTGCGCCAGGTATGGAGGTACACACAGCTGGTGTCATCATCCCTGCGCCAGGTATGGAGAGTGAGTCAACTGGATGCTGCACAAAACTCTCCTAAACCTTCCCAAGCTCATGATTCTATCTGAAAATAATTGTCAAAAACATGACGCTATAAAAAAAAGTTCAAATATTGATTAAAAAAATCCAAAAAAAATTCGAATTGAACAGACTCAATTATAAATAAATGTTTTTAATTGTCAGAAACAGTCCTGGTCCTGACTGAGGGCTCTATATACATGTGAACAAGTTATAAGTGATGCAAGTTAGATATATATCAACATACATAAGGAGCCCGTGTCACTCCAAAGTTATTTTTTAGGTACATTTTGGTCTTTATTTTAAAGAAATCTGTCAACGTTGCATTCTTTTAAGTCTCAAGAAAATCTGGTAATAACTGCGAGTTGCTAACTAGTATTTTTCATGCTCTGAAAGCATAAAATATAAGATAAATAAAATACAAAGTATTAGAAAGAATATACAAAGTCAAGTTATATAATTATAAGTAACATTCTTGAGGACTTGAGGCGCGGTATTTTTGCCGGGAAAATTCAAATATCAAAACACTGTTTTCTTTAAGGTTTCCAGGAACTTTTCCGACAGTTTCCATCGGATTTTGATGAAATTTTCAAACATGACAGAAATCAAGAAATTTTTGCAATTCACTTTCAGGTAATTATGAACATAATAATTTCTTTTAATTAAGGTGTATGTTTATTTTAAAAAACAACAACAAAAAAAATGCCGAGTATTTAAAAACATAAATTAGTCAACTACAGAACTTTGGTCTTTCCAATGACATCAGAACAACTTTCCAGAATCCCGCCCAAAGGTCGACCATCTTGGCGCGCGGATTGAACGCTCCTGGCTGGACTTTCTTTCCACACTTTATCTGGAGCTCATCTTTGAATTCAGCTGGCTTCTTTGGGCCAGTGTGTGCTCACTGCAGCTACCCAGGGGCTCACAGCACCGGGGTAGGCCGGAGCCTCCCTAATGGACGCCTCCCCGAGTGGGGGCGCCATGGATATTGACAGCAAGTCCCAGAGAGGAAAACATCTGCTGGAAAATGAGTCGGCTGATGCTGCCCCAAAGCGAGATGCTAAGAGGATGTCTTCGCCTTCAGAAGACCGTAGTCTTGTGGTACCCCATTCCTCGTTTGTGGTAGTCCTAATCCAGTCAGAATCAGGTCAGTGCGTGTTTGCTAATCCTCGTACCTTAGGTGCAGCAATTGAGGCGTCGGTATTGTGGCAATATTGCCTGCCCAGGTATGCCCGAGACCATACGTACACTGGGTAGGGGTGCAGGACTGAAGCTACACATTAGAAAAGAGGCTCTATCACACATCCGTGTATCCGACATTATTAAGTTGGGGGACTGGCCTGTCAGGTGCCTACAGGTATTGTCACAGGAGGAGTCTCGGGCCCGGTATAGGAAGATTGGCCTAATTGACCAGTGTTGATGTGGATGACATCCAGGCCGCTCTGCAGGTGTTAGGGGTGCATCAGCGGGATTATTGGAAGTTACCAGGATTCGCAGAGCAGCAAGGCCGACATCAATGGTCCGTGTAAAGTTCGATGGGCACCTCCCTAACCGGGTGGCACTACACAGGACCTCGTATCAGGTCCAGCCCTACAACTTCCCTGTGTTACGATGTTATGCTTGTCATCTATTGAGTCACAGTCGCCTGACATGCCGTTACCTGGTTGATTATTAATGCAGCACGTTGTGCAAACTGCGGCAAAAAAGCCCATTCAGACAGAGATAATGGTGGGTGCTCTGCTGCACCTCGCTGCTTTTAATGCTATGGCCATCATAAGATTACGACCAAGAGTTGCCCTGTATATCTTGAGGCCCTCCAGTTGGACATCGATCTTAAAACAGCGGGGACCTCTCGACAAGAGCTGTTCCAGAGGCTGCACGCCCTCAATCAGCCTATCGCTTCTTCTCGCCTCCAGGTTCCCACTGGTCGGACCTCTTCACAAGTAGGAACTAGCAGATGCTCTTGCCTGTCCCAGTCACATGCCTCATACGCCCAGGTTGTCGTGACGCTGAACCCCGGTTCATTCCGAACACAGCGATTACACAACACATAACACCTTGCCTCAGCAACCGTTACTACCACCGTGTACTCCTACACACACCAGACCCTTGAGGCGTACCACTAGGTTTGTACTGGAACACAATGAGTGAACATATGGAAGGTATTTAAAGGCCGTCGGGTTTTGTCATTTAATTACAAAGAATAGACTCTGACAATTAATAACATATTAACATACTCTATTAGGTAAATACTCTTCCAATACCCATAGACCACTTGACCTCCGCGGTCACCACTTGCACTCATAACTTCCGCCTAAGTCCCTAATACGGAATGATTACTACAACGCTCCACACCCGGTTAGTCTTTCATTCAATACTCACATACTGCAGACTTAACTTGGTCACTATGATCACACCAGGCTCTCGCATAGCTGTCTGCTACACTTCGCTGCTGCCACAAACGGAGACCTCGGAGGACTTGCCAGTTCCACTCCCACAACAAGACTGCCTTTAGCCAACCATGGCCTCAAACAGTTCACCATGCCTCTCAAGGAAGGTATAATCCGATTAACCTTATCCCTAGAAGCCTGAGTCCTCTTTCCAGGAATTATTAATTAGGCTAAGCAGCTGCGGTCTTAATCCCTTGACCTTTCTTAGATATGTGATCCATAGTCTGTCTACTTAACATTTACTTCCAATCATCATTCGTTAAGTGTTGTAGTAATGATCCTCTTGCTAATAATTCCTACTAACTTGTGGATTACAACAAGGTTGCTAATCGATTTTCCCTCCTGGGTAGCCTTTACACTGACGAAAACTCATCCACGGATACAGACATGGACGCTCAGTCTCGGCCAGAACCCGGCACTCGTCACCCTCCTGCCTCTCCCCAAAGAAGCCAACACTGGCGTCGTCGACACACCCATCGATCAAGAGGTACTGCTCCAACAGATAGCCCTGATGATCCTCTGGTCCCCCAGACACTTTCCCAGGGATTGTGACACCGATGGAACACGAGGCCCAGAGTGAAGCACCCACCAGTCGCA